TGCATAATTACAAACAAAAATCCTTACGGGTGAATAATATATCGGGAAACTTGATCGTTTTTTTTTTTGTTTTTTGTTTGTCTTTTGCTGTTCCCTTCTTCTGTGCTTGGTTTAAGCCACATTAATTTTGAAGTACGATAAGAAATATATATTTAAAATTTTTTCTCCGTAAACGATGAGTTTCAGTAAAATTATCAAGATTTTTCCCACCTGTCGGTATATAAATGTACTATTACTACTATTACTATCGTACGCATTTAACGTTCCGTGAAAGTTTAAGCAGTTAACGATCAGGTGATTTGCTTGCTGAGGTTTTTCGTTTTGCTAAGATGTCAGCCGCTATTCAATTTTCTACCAGATGACAAGATCCAGAAATCTTTTCTAACTTTTCTGTATCTGTCGTGACGCTCTGAAAAGCAAATATAAAAACTCTTTCATATTACGTTGTTGTTGTTGTTTGGAATATTTGCTAGATTTATCGTTAAAAAATTCAAATTAATTTGGATTTATAGGGGATAAAAACGAAAAAAAAGTAAAATTTGATAGCATCCTTCAGTATTTATGTAAAAATATATTCCTTTTTTAATCTTTGGTTAGAAGGGTCCGAGGTTCGAGATGTGATGCTGCTGAACACATTCCACACATTCAGTTGTGGACGTTTTATAAAACTGGCAGGTACTTGGCTCAAAGAGGTGGACAATAGTTCAAAATTAGAACGGTTATATCTGAAGTCCACGTATGCATAAGGTGCCGTTTAGGTTAAAAGTTCCACTGCTTTAATATTTGTAGTTGTGGAAGCTGGGCACACTTTTAAAGCACAATTTAGTAATTTCCACTCAAGATTTGTTTTTTTGTAGTTGCGCACAAAGCTACACAATGGGCTATCTGTGCTCTGTCCACCATGGGTATCGAAACCCGGTTTCTAGCTATGTAAGTCCGCAGACATACCGATGTGCCACTTGGAGGGGAGGGCTCTAACTCAAGATCAGATTAAATAAAAGAGCACAAGACAGAATTTAATGAAACCGTTTTTAAAATTTTCATAGGTTTGTGAAGTCATAATTGTTTTTTTTTCCATTTTGTTAATTTTTAGCGAAATTTAATATTTAAATATTGAATTAGACATTGTTTTTTTTTTCCCTGCTACACATCGAAACAGCTTCTAAAACATGTTTATTTATTACTTTAAAGCTTTTGTTGTTAACAGTTGTTACATAAATGGTAATATCTGTTTAGTAATACCATTTGGTTAACAAACATATTTTATAACCCAATAACAAGGACCGACATGGCCAGGTGGTTAGTGCGCTCGACTCGCAATCTGAGGGTCGCGGGTTCGAATCCCCGTCACACCAAACATGCTCGCCCTTTCAGCCTTGGGGACGTTATACTGTGACGGTCAATCCCACTATTCGTTGATAGAAGAGTAGCCCAAGAGTTGGCGGTGGGTGGTGATGACTAGCTGCCTTCTCTCTCTAGTCTTTCACTGCTAAATAAAGGGACGGCTAGCGCAGATAGCCCTCGTGTAGCTTTGCGTGAAATTCAAAACAAACCCAATAACACACGTTGATCAAAGTATATATTGAACTGGACCTCCCTTGAATTTCGACTTCGAGATTAAACAATTTTCGGAATACTAAGTTTATTACATTTCTTTCCTACATATTCTCTTAGTGGCCTAGTGGCTAGCATCAGTGTGAATCCGAGGGCCCTCTCATTCGCGACTCGCATTTTGGGACCATTAATTCATTATATATGTTACAGCCAAATTTCTCTTTTCGATTAGAGTAGCTCAAGAGTTGGCGGTGAGTGCTATTGAATGGCTCCCTCTAGTTTGTCATCTCAAAATTAGGAGACGGCTAGCGCAGATAGCCTTTATGTAGCTTTGCGCGAATATCCGAAAGAAACATGATTAGTTGGTGGTGAGTGCTATTGAATGGCTCCCTCTAGTTTGTCATCTCAAAATTAGGAGACGGTTAGCGCAGATAGCCTTTATGTAGCTTTGCGCGAATATCCGAAAGAAGCATGATTATATCTCGTCAGTGATTACGTGCAATTACGTTTTTTTCCGCTGTGACGTATTTTAGAAAACAACATCCTTGTTTCTTCGGTGGAGTAATAAAAATGCAGCGTATAGTTTTTGTTTGTTTTTCAAAATGTTTCTGTAAAGCAACACAGAGGACTATCTAACGGACTAGAAGGAACGCAGCTAGTTAACAGCACCCACTTCTTAGAAACATGGTGGGAATTGACTGTCACTCTTATAACGCACCCACGACTCCGAAGTGTGGAGCGCATTCTTGAGGCAACGGGATGCGCGAACCATGAACCCTCGAATTCATAGTCCGAGCAAACTAGCCACTAGGCCACGCACAGCCCTCATCTCACAAAATATGAATAGATAATTATCTAATCTTGTGGAGACAGCGGTAAGTCTATGGATTTGCAGTGCTAAAATCCAGGGTTCGAGTCCCCGCTGTGGACACAGCAGATAGCCCAATGCTTGGGAAGCTACAATTAAAAATCAATTCCGAATTAAATATTTCTATCTATCTATCTTTATAAGTAGTCAGTGATTCTGTCTATCTATTTGTGCATCTAGTCAGTGATTCTGTCTATCTATTTGTGCATCTAGTCAGTGATTCTGTCTATCTGTGTAACTAGCCGGTAATTCTATCTGTCTATCTATATATATGTGACTAGTCAGTGACTCTATCTATCTATCTATAAGACTAGTAACTCTGTCCGTCTAACCGTGTATTTTGTCACTGTAAGAAATAAAACTAATTTAGTGAAAGATATCTTTTTTTTGTTTAACCATTTAAACTTGATCTTGGCATACACGCGATTTTATCGAGCACAAAGGAAACAGTTTTATAGAGTTTGAGCGGGATCGAGGTCCGTATGGTAGAGTACCGTATATTAAATGTAGATGGAGAAAATACGGTGGAGAAGTATTATACGCGATGAGAGCTCGTTACGTACTTCATATCTCTCGCTCCTTGCAACAAATCGATTTCTGTTTTGGTTCTGACTCGTTTTCTGCTCTCGGAATGTTGAACTGGTACTTGGTCGATTTTCTTGTAGCCCAGATCATCCAAATGTAACAATTGTTTATTAACCAATGTTAAAATATAAAGTGTTTTACAATAACAATGGCCTTATTGTTAAAATATATAGTGTTTTATAATAACATTGGCCTTATTGTTAAAATATATAGTGTTTTACAATAACACTGGTCTTATTGTTAAAATATATAGTGTTTTACAATTACACTGACATTATTGTTAAAATATATAGTGTTTCACAATAACAATGGCCATATTGTTAAAATATATAGTTTTTCATGGTTCAACAATGCCATCAATAATCCCTTCTTATGTTAGAGTTTTTTTCATGGTTCATCAATGGTATCAATAATCCCTTCCTATGTTAGAGTTTTTTCATGGTTCATCAATACCATCAATAATCCAATCCTGTGTTAGAGTTTTTTCATGGTTCAACAATACCATCAATAATCCCTTCCCATGTTAGAGTTTTTCCTGGTTCATCAATGCCATCAATAATCCCTTCCTATGTTAAAGTTTTTTCATGGTTCATCAATGCCATCAATAATCCC